CAGACATTCAGATGCATCCGAATTTCCAAATTTGATCAAGTCCGAATGCAAATGAATCCGAATGTTCCTTTAAAGAAAATTCAGATCCATCCGAATTCCGTTAAAAACTAAACAAAATCAGACATGTGACTCTTTTCTGGCCAATCAGATTTTTTTTTAGCTGTTGTGGGTGCATTACAGGCACAGATCCGAAACAAAAATTTGCACAGATCCGAAATCCAAATAACAAACTGAATCAAATTTCTGATCTGAAATACCAAAAAATGAAAGAAATAAAAATCCAAAGTGATCTGAAACTAAACTAATGTTTTGTGGGGTTACATGTCTATTGCCTTTTGTCTCAGATAATATCAAATAATACTTTTCATCTTTTCATTGTATTTAAAACTTACACGTCTCTCTCATTTAAATTGCTTAATAAAGCTGCTTACATGCTGTCCAGTCACTGTACAATATTTGTGACTCTTGTCTGTCAGATGATACACTCTAATTTCTATTTCAAGATAAAATCTGCTCTGTCTCTCCCTCTTTATTTGCAACCTAACCAAGCTGCTTACATACTTTTTAACCACTATAAAATATTTGCAGCTATTGTCTTTCAGATGATACACTCAGATAATACATTTTGCAATAAAAATCTGTCTTGTCTCTCTATTTGCTGTCTATTCAAGTCACATACTGACCTGATGTGTCCAATTTCTACCACAAACATACCTATATTTTGAATATTTTGGAAATATTCAGGGATACAAGGATATGAGGGGGTTTGGGGAATGTGGGGCTGTGGTTTTGAAGTGTTTTTGTGCACTTTGTTTTGATGTTTTATTAAACTTTTAGAAAACTGCAGTATGGTTCTACAAAAAACAAAGATCAGGGGTTCAGCTTTTTTTTATTTTTAAGTGTAAACTTTCTATAGGTTTTAGATCTGTTGTGGCAGGTATTTCAATTCAGGCCTATTGCAGCGTATAAAATAAAATAATCAGGTGTTGTAGCCAAAACAACCTAAAGGTTTTTTTTAAAAGTTCTAATGAATAAGATTGGGTTGCTGATTTAATCAAGTGTCACTGGTACTGTCTGTGGAAATTGCACCACAACCTTGGTAGGCCTTGATAGATACAAGCATCTATCAAGCATGTAATTTAAATGATTGGTGTATTTTCCATGTTGCCCTTGAAGTCACAAAAAAGGACCCTTTCCTTGCTGTATGATAATTAAAACTTTTTTTTTATTTGTTAAATGTCCCTCATGGTCATGCTCATCTTCCCATAACCTTGTTTGACAATAGCTTGCCTGTTATCTTTAAAAATGGCCAGAATTTAGAATACTGATTTGCCCTCCTGTAGACTTTAATGGGGCTCACAGCTGAGTTCAACAAAACAGTAAGTCACCAGCCCTCCAAAGGTTCTCCAAGCAAAGTTCTTTTTATTCCATGTGTAAAGACTTTCAGAAACGTTGCTACACTTGGTGATGTAACTTTACAGTAAAGTTACATCACCAAGTGTAGCAACGTTTCTGAATGCATCCCGTTCCTTTATCAGGCAAAACAGTTTACCCAGTGTTAGGATGAGGGTTGCCCTCAGAGGCCTATATATAGGATGTAGATATAAGCCATAGAAATATAAATTGCAGTTTTAAACAAATGTTTTAATAGTATACATTATTACTATACAGGATGAAATGTATTTAGGTTTTAAAAGTGTCCGTGCGGTACCATTAAGGTCTGGTATGTTGGTATGCCTTTAAAATTAGATAAACTTTAAAATGACATTTCTTAAAAAGTGAGAATGGTGGATGTGCATTGGGGAATCTACTAAACTTGTATGTATTAACTTTCACTGTTTCATAATAAGCAAAAAAAAGTGTCGGTTTTTCCTTTATAAATATTTCCCTTTAAAGGATTAGAACCTTACATTAAAAAAATTCACATAAAAAAAATTTAACATTTACATTAAAAAAAATAAAAAAAAATAACTATCAGACTTTATTATTTCATGAAGCTCTTATGTTTTTTATAGGTACATAGGACAAAATGAAAACAAAATCATGCATTAGTTAAGATGTAACAAATTTCTACCACAAGGTGGTGACATTGATTAGTAATAGCACAAATAATACAACTGAATCTAAAGTAAAATCTAACAATGTCCTGGGAGAAATATAGTTGCTGACATTGCTTACCTACCCAGTTATTACCTTGACCCACCTGCTTCAATACTTTGGGGTTGATTTACTAACCTTATAAACACGCCACAAACAAGTATACACCTCTGTAATGTGTTCCCTCCCAGCATGATCTATTGGTGGAATCTAGACACCTTTGTAGTGTGTACACACCCAGCAGGTGTGTTGTGCAAAGCCCTGCATGAATTGCAAGGTGATGTTGTGTAAATTAGCTCTACATTGTGTTGCTTGGGTTGATGAATGCAGGAATGTAAATGCATGAGCTAACCATTTTTGTCTAAACTGTGAAGCAGCATTATATATGCATCATGTGCATGATTTTTCCATATATGGCATTAGTGGAAATATGCTTTTAGAGACTTTTTGGTTGATAAATACGTTTCGCTGTGTAAAAATCACACGCACCTAGTGCGTGCGTGTGTTTAGGTTAGTAAATCACCCCCTTTGAGTCACTAACCTAGAGCAAGTATGCAGATCATTAAAGTCAGAAGCCCTTTTCTGTATACTGGTTCTAGGTATGTATTGAATCCAGAGGGGCCAGCATGACAGCCCGAGGTACTAGAATTTCCAGAAGGAGAGGCCAAAAATAGTAGCCTACATTCTTCTCTTATGACAGACTAACACACAAAAGGTAGATTTTGAGTTGAGACAATTTTTTTTTTTTTTGCACAAATGTAAAATGCACATTTTGGGCCTGAAGATTACTTAAACTCCTCAACAATTTATATTTATTGGAAGCAGAAACGCTTGAGAATAAAGTGGTAGCAGTTACAATTTTTTTTATCTCACACGATAAATTATCAAGTCTATATCTTAAATTAATTCTAGTGCCCACAAACACAGTATGATACCCAATTTTTGCCAAAAGAAAGAGACAACAAACTGGCAAATCCTGAAAATATGCAGAAAACAAAAGGACAATCATGACAATATACAGAAAATAAACTGGCAAATCATGACACTATATGTACAACAAACTCGCAAATCGTGACAATGTGCAGATAACACATGCAACTGTGACAATATGCAAACAGCAAATAATACAGGTAAATACAAACGATAGCCTCTGTATGCAAGCCCTAAAAAATTACACATTTACAGGGTTATTCACAAAAGGGTGAAGAGTTTGGGGAAGGCAGGGGAAGTGAACAATCTAGGACAATGCAGCTGAACTGGAAAATGAGCTGAATTGGAGAATCTTTCCAAATCAGCTATTGTGGTCTAGATTAGGGATGCACCGATACCACTTTTTTGGGTCTGAGTACGAGTACCGATACTTTTTTTTAAGTACTCGCCGATACCAATTACCGATACTTTTTCTTTAAGGGGCAGATCACATTTTTTCCAAAGCAATACAAAATAATGATTTTAGGTCAGTTTCTTAATATTATGAAGAACTGTAACTCAAAAGACAACATGACTGTCAAAAAATAAGTTTACTTTGCTTAAATTGTCACAAAGTTGTACTCAACGAAAGTTAGTAAAATCTCAACGTGCCATTTGAAAAAAGGCCACAAGATGGCGCATGGATAGGATGGAAGCAGATGGAATTGTGTAGAAAAGTGAAAAAACCTTAATTTAGCTTAAGACCTCATTCACACAACTAACAGCCGGCCCATGTTATATTAATACAGCATGGTCAAAGATAAATGAATCTTTATTTTATATAATATTGATTAAGCAATGGAAAAAACAATTATTTTATATTTATTCATGCTGTATTCACTCAGCTATGATTCCCTGGCTGGAATCCAGCCGATACCGATGCTTGTATCGGTATCGGTGCATCCCTAGTCTAGATGTTCACTTCTCCTGCCTTCTCCAAGCTCTTCACCCTTTTGTGAATAACCCTGTTAAATTAAATATAGTGCCCACAAACACAATGTAATATGCAAGTTTTGGCAAAATAGAAAAAAAGGTTGCTTTAAGTAAATAGATACCAAATATGTCAAGTCACAAAATTGTATGCTCTCGTGAAATAGCAAAAACCAAAACATTGTCCATAGGTGATGGTTAAAAAGACTTTACAGTTCATCTTCACTTCACAAGTTAGCAGATCAGAATGACAGACAGGCAGGTCAACATGGGCAAAATATCCATCAGAATTATTCTTAAAATCTATAGTGAGAGATGACTGTTGAATGAATGATGTGAGAGGTGAATTTCTCCACTGAGACAAGGGTTTGTTTTTGGGAACATACCACAGACCCAAATCTTTGGCAATAATATCAGAGTGACATGGATTCTACAAAAAAATAAAAATCACAATAAATTATGAGGACTTATCATGTGTTTTAAATATTTCACAATTGTTATAGGGTATTGAAATATATTATAATCACAAAACCAAGATATAAACCCTGTGCAAGGGCTGTCTGCTTCCAGTAGTTTATGATCTCCAGTAATTACATTGGTGCAGTGCAGTGTAAAATCATTATTTTTACTATTGGGACTTAAGACACTAAATCAAACATGTTTGTGAAGTACAGTAGATACCTGACCAGACAAACTGAATGTGAATAATATAATGTGTGTCTGTGAAGACAAATTTCAAAGTACAAGAAAAGAAAAGGAAGAGGGGATGATGGGGGAGATGTTAATGTTCGGTATTCCTAAAAGTCAGCTAATTAGCCTGATTCACCAACCTCCAAAGTACAAAAATCTGCATGTGTGAAAAAATGTAATGCATGGTGTGTGCTTACATTGTGAGGTCTCACCAGGGCTGTGCAGTCTCACCAGGACAGTGCAAGGTCTCGCCAGTGCTGTGCAGTCTCACCAGGACTGTGTATGGTCTCACCAAGGCTGTGCAGGGTTTCACCATGGCTGTGCGGGTCTCACCAGGTTTGTGTGCCGTCTCACCTGCGCTGTACAGTCTCACCAGCGCTCTGCTGGGTCTCACAAGGGTTGTGCAGTGTCTCACCAAGGCTATGTGCGGTTTCACCAGGGCTGTGCGGCCTCACCAGGGCTGTGCAGTCTCACCAAGGCTATGTGCGGTCTCACCAAGGCTGTGTGGGGTCTCACCAAGGCTGTGTGCTCTTACTAGGGCTGTGCGGGCTCTCACCAGGGTTGTGCGGTGTCTCACCAGGGCTACGTGCGCCCTCACTAGGGCTATGTGCGATCTCACCAGGGCTATGTAAGGTCTCACCAGGGCTATGTGCGGCCTAAAAAGGGCTGTGTGACTCTCACCAGGGCTATGTGCAGTCTCTTCAGTGCTGTGTGCAGTTTCACCAGCACTACGTTCGCCCTCACCAGGGCTACGTGTGCCCTCACCAGGGCTATGCAGTCTCACCATGGCTATGTTCAGTCCCACCATGGCTACGTGAGGTCTCACCAGGACTACATGCGGACTCACCAGGGCTGTGTGGTCTCACCAATGCTATATGCAGTCTCACCAGAGCACTGCCTGCATAGCGGTGGGGGAGGGAGCGGTGCTGCCCGTCCGGCAGTTATAATGCTAGTAGTTTCCCCTTCTGGATCCATCACTGGCCCTGCCAGCAGCGCCCCTGCTGATGCGGTGCCCGGGACACCTACCCCCCTAGTTTCAGCATTGCATACAACTATCTGAAATCAAAAGCTGAAATTGCTAAGTTAGCTCTGTCAAAATTAAGAACCCATTTAACTCCTTTATCACATTCAAATTGTAGGATCCTATACCAAATGTGTTTTTTCCACTTGAACCACATTCCACAATTTTTTCAAATGTATACCTTAAGGTAATTATAGCCCAGAACAGTTTCCTTATGATTGTGACCTTAACAGCAAATTAGACTGCTCCAAGCCCAATCGCCCCCGTGCTGCTCCCACCATGCTATGCCCCCGGTACTTCTCTCCACACTCTGTCTGTTCCCCGCAGCCTGTTCAGGCAGGACACTAAAAAGATGCCCCGCCTCCGGCAGAGCCTGCACTGTATGGGAGGCGGGAGGACAAAGAAGTAGTGGCTGTGAGGAGGAATGCACCACTGCCCACAACACTGACAGCCCCAAAGCCTCGGTATGCCGCCGGCAGGGCATCGCAGGTCCAGTCTGCCCCTGGTTCGGGTGTTGTGCTCGGAAAGAGGGACAGACACACCCGGCACACCCCATGCGGGCGCCTATGTTTGGTAGGTCCAAGAGTGGGGAAATCTCTACCATACCACATCAGATAACCAGTTAAGGAATTTTGCTTAATGAAATTGAAATCTCTATTAAAAACCGAATATTCTTATAGTGCAATTTGACACATTCACTCCTCAATACTGGTATTGTCAGCCTTCTGCTTAAGAGGTTTTTTTTTAACATGATTTTTTTACTAATCCTGATCGCAGCATCACCTTCACCCAAGCCAAGTATCATGCAACTTGTATATTGATATAAGAAAAGTGGTCAGCTCACCAGTTTGTTATATCTGATCCAATATTATAACATTACAGGAGGACCTGGATAAAATAGGGGAGTGGGCAACTACATGGCAGATGAGGTTTAATGTTGAAAAATGTAAAGTAATGGGGTTAAAAGTAGGCAAGCGGAATACAAATTAATGGGAACTCCACTAGGGAAGTCAGAAAAGGAAAAAGATTTGGGGGTCATAGACGACTACAGACTGAAAAATAGCATGCAATGCCAGGCTGCAGAAAACAAAGCTAGCAAAGTACTGTTATGCGTTAAAAAGGGGATGTACTGTAGAGACTAAGCAATACTTTTGCCACTTTATAGATCACTGGTTTGGTCTCATCTGGAGTATGTGCTTCAATTTTGGTCACCAATCCACAGAAAAGATGTCCTTGAGCCAGAGAGAGTCCAGAGAAGGGCAACGAAACTACATTAAGGGACTGGAGGACCAAAGCTATGGGACAAGGTTGCTAAATTTAAATTTGTTCATGCTGGAAGTGAGGAGATTAAGGGGAATATGATTTTGATGTACAAAATGTTTGGTGGTGATGGCAACATCATCAATAAACCTTTTACTGTAAACTCTATTAAGAAGACTAGAGGCCACCACCTAAAATTGGTGGAAAAAAGATTTAAACACAAAGGGCGTAGGGGTTTCTTTTCAGTTAGAGTGGTTACATTTTGTAACTCTCTTTCACAAGCAGTGGTATCAGCAGAGAGTATTGAATCATTCAAAAATCATTTAGATACCTTCCTCAGAGACCATACTATACAGGGGTACAGGTACTCTTAAAAACTAGACCACACAGGGATTCATATACACACACACGCAGGCACAAACACACAAAGTTTGAACTCGATGGACCTGTGTCTTTATTCAACCTCAAATACTATGTAACTATGTAATATGTCCAAGAGTGCAGAATATGTGTGCTTATAGAATGATCAACACATATCAATTGAAATAATTGTTTTTCACTGACCTTTACTGACTCCATTGAAAAAACACAAAGAAATTGTCACAGACAAAACGTTTAGACCTTATTATTATTATACGGGATTTATATAGTGCCAACAGTCTGCGCAGCGCTTTACAATATAAGGAAGACGTTACAATCACAATACAATTCAAGACAAGATGGTGACGGCTTACAATCTAAAAGGGAGGGGGAAGTGATACATAAGGAGGTAACTGTGTGGGGATGAATTGTTTTAGAACGTGATGGTTCAGTGGTTAGGTTGAAGTGGGATAGAATCTTGCTTGTTCTTATCCGCAATTCAGGTTTTGGATTGTGACCAAGACCCAGCAGGGTTAAAACTTGTTGTCTCTGAGCATTGCCAATAAAGTGACAGTTTAACCAGTCATTATGTTTGGGATGTGCTAATCATTATATAAGAACTTTACCATTCATCTTATCAGAATGATCTCTCTAGGCTCTAGACCACAAATCTGACAAGAGTGGCCCCAGGTTTGTCCTGCTTATAGTGGCCTTCCCAACTAAATTTGTATTACTGAAAGTTACTCTATTAAGGAGATGTCATTTTTAACACCATTTCCACATAATTTCTATGTCCTTCATTTTCAAGTATAATTTGTAACTTGTTTATTTTACTTGCCAGAGCTGTCTTTTAAAGGTACAGGGATGTTAACAACAAATCTAAACCATACTAGTAATTTTCCATCATAGGAGAAGAGTTGAAGAAATGATTAATGCCTGGCAAGGCTGCATTGCTATGTGACAACGTAATTCATCTTCAGGAATAAAGTAAAGTCCATGATTGTCACTAATGTACACAGAAATGTTTGGTCACATCCAAAGAAACTGGTTGATCCTGCAGATAAAGCTGACTATGTAAACTCAGTCATGGAACATTTCCTGCTAACTAAATAAAGCCTAGAGTAAAAGAGAATTGCTATATCTTGTTATCTGGAAACTTTGTGGTCAGGTAAGAAACAATGACAATATGAAAGGTAATGGACTGGCAAATAGAAGCAGGTTTTTTTACACATAATTGCATTTGTTAAAAGAAGCTGGTAACTATTTGTTATATACATCTGGCTACAGTTTTCTTTTATCATTCTTCCTTCTAAATTGTTATCTAATGTAAAATAAATGAATTTGTAAAAAGTTAGCAGTAGTAACAAAGTTAAAGGACAATCATGGTTTCATATGATAAATAGAAACCCTAACTTCCATGCAGCAGGAGAATCCCTTCACATGGCACAGGCTGAATGAGGTCAGCACCATGTCTATTATGAACTTTCAACCTTTTTGTTCTCTGCGTCATGCACTCCTGACCCCTACGCTCTGTGTGTTATGCACTCTTGACACTTTTGCTCTATGTGTCACTTCCCTGTCCCTTATACTCTGTGCATTACATACTCTTGACCCCTGCACTCTGAGCATTACATACTCCTGACACCCTGTTCTTTGTGTGTTACACACTCCAGACCCCTGTACCCTCTGTGTTACATACTCCTAATCCCTGTACATTGTGTGTTTAAAAAAAAAAATCATTGAGTCATATCAGTGCCCAATCACCATACCCTTTGTATGGCCAATAAATTGCATATAAGGCTTTAAGGCTATAAGGCTATGGATTTGTAAAGTTATAGCCCCATAGACTTGCATTGAGTTTGAGATCGATTTTGGACGTTTCCCTTGTTCTAAAGTGATGAGCCGAACAAGGGGGTGTTCGGCTCATCACTAGTGACAAGGCCAGGCGGTAGGAAACAGAAGGTGAACGATGGAAATACTTCACATTTAGAGCTGCTGCTCTTAACCCCCGCAAGGCCAGAAGTATAATGCTGTGAGTAGGACCCAGCTTCACTGATAGGAGGATTTTTAAAGTAATTAGCAGCAGCCAGCTATTTTACCTGCCAAAGGATTTGTATTTCTGCCCATCTAGTCCTATGATTTACACTGCTCTGCCACACAGCACAGCCCTGTCTAGTAGGGCAGTACAGCTATCTTTTCTCGTCTGCAGATAAGTAACACTTACAAGTCTTTTCCCTTCCCCAGTCCTTGTGCTCTTCTCCCTGTCCCAGTCTAAGTACTGCTGCATAGGGGATTCCAAGAGACCTAGTCACATTGAGGGACTTACATTGCTTGCACTTAAAAATATGTTTAATGGCATATTAAAGAGTACAGGCCTGCATTTATTTTTTATGTTATATATCTGCCTGGAGTTCAACTCTAGGCTAAATCTTTATTCTAGTTTTGGATAGAATAGGGACGGATTTGGGGTTTATCTGATGCCTACAACACTGCCGGGAACCTTCCCGCCTATTACATCTAGTTCTGTCTCTGACATCATTTAGACCAAAAGGGGGGGTATATTGTCTGAGTGAAGACACAGACATTAATACAAACCTGAAAGGAGTTCTAACTCTTCCCCATTCTACTCAAAAAATATGTTTTCATTGCTGTCTATAATGATTGATGACACGCATCATAGGGGATCTCATTCTTCCTCATTCTCAGACTTCTATATGCAATTGAAAAGGAACAGTTTTATTAGAGTTGGGGCAACAGAATTCAAAAGAAGCCTTAGATATTCAATCTTGTTTAAGATGTCAAATTGTGTGCTTTAGATAAGTCTTTATCACTACTTCAGAAAACAGATGTTTAAATAATCAGAACAGGTTATTTTATTCTGTGGAAGTATATGTTGTTGCATAAGGCTGTTACAAAAACTATAAAAGGTGACATCAGACTGAACAGATTCAAATGTATAACAGTCCGGTGGTGGAAGAGTCTCTGAAGTGCAGCTGGTAAGAAGATAATGGGGGCGAATAAGCTCTTCACTTTGCAAGGAAATTTGCACTTTGCAGGGGAAGTTTCCCTTAGCTTGGTGAATGTGGTGAAATTTTACTTTGAGAAGAATACCCAATTACGTGCAAAGAGAATAGCAAAAACAGTATCTTGCTTGCACATGATTGGGTGATGGAAGTCAGCAGAGCTTTACCTCCTTCACTAAACTAAGGTGAAACTTCCCCGCAGAGTGCAAATTCCCTTGCAAAGTGCGCAGTCTATTTGTCTCTATGTCTCCCTATAATGATTTTTAGCAGAACTCCTGATCATTAACGTTTGAATACTTTTATTGTAATTTCAACATGATTCTGTTTTATATTTACATCTGTATCAATTTTTAAGCTGATCTCATTTGGCATGTGAAATGTGATTATGTTACAACAGTGGGAATACATACATTTATTACATGTTTCTATTTTGCTCAGGTGAAGATGTTGGTGCACTGTCTTCTAGTCCTCTCTTTGGCACTTGCTGGAGCTTTTGCTGACAAATGGGGTGAGTATGTTATTTGTGTAGAAAGAGCCATTATCTACAGCAGATGTACTCAGATATTTGTATTCTGTTACCAAAATGTCAGCATGTGCTTGTGCTGGGAGTATCACTGTTAGCAGGGGTCATAAATTCTTAAAGTGACACTAAATTCAGGAGTTACAACCTAAAGATGCATGCAAGTACCCTACCAATTAACACAAATGTAGCTTTTTTTGTGTATCACTCCATTGTAGCTCCTCAAATTATCTCTGAATTGGTACTGTCACTGTCCATCCTTCTGGAGGGTGATTACCTTTGTTCCCCATGTTCCCCATGGTCCCTGTGTGTTTTTTCAGGGGCTTTGATACTTAGTATCTCTAAGTGGAATATAGTATTCTGCCTAGAGATACTTTTATCAGTTTGTCAACACAGCCGACTTACTGTTTACAAAACAGTGCTGAACTGCTGCCGGCTATGTGACTCAGAGCTCTGCGATCACATCGATCAGCTCTCGCTGTGATCAGAGAACTGTGACCAACTTATATGCTGTTGAGGGACTGCCTCGGACCCTGGGGGACCCATCAACAGCAGTAACTCAATGAGCACTTGTCCCTTCACGGACCAGCACTCATTGTACAGAATGATGGGATTATCCTGTCACCAGTCACCAATGTACTGTAAGTGTAATGTAAGCCTGTGAAACTCACATGCCTCTCTACACTCAGCAAGACACTATATGGCACATGTTACTATGCATAGCACTAACAAAGCAAGATGGGTTTATCATCATGTCAAGAGCCAGCTGGAATAGATATGATATGAGGATAGATTAATTCAGACTTAAAGGAGAACTATGAGGTGAGGGAAAATAACTCATCCTCATAGTTCAAGCCGACCTGTGACAATGAAACTGTCACGCGTCGGCTCAATAGATCGGGAAGTGAGCGAACGCATACCATCATTCGCTCACTTCTCGATCATCTCCCTGCAGAGAGCCGTAACTGTCAGTCACGGCTCCCTGCAGGGATTCCCCCCTCCCCGCTCCGATCCTCAGGCGCTGACTGAAGGAACAGATGGGGGTGGGTACAGCTGGCTCTGCCTCTAGATAGGCAGAGTCAGCTGTCATTCATGCAGGGATCCGTCCCAGCCGCGGCCTCAGCGTCAGCTCGCTGTATACTGAGCTTTGGGTCACAGGAGGACGCTAGTATATGTCCTCCCGTGACCCTTAAGAGAACTATGGGGAAAAAAACTTACCCCATAGTTCTCTTTAAACACATGTTATAATCAAGGAACACTAACTGGCTGTCAAGAAATGCAGGAAGAAAATATATGTTTGTTTCTCTGAATGTATATAGGTCCTTATTTTAAAATATGCTGGCCTTTCTGAGAAGAAACAGACCATCCTTAACCTGTTGGCATGCTGGGACGATGACACTGCAAATGTTATCATTTCAGATTTTGGGTACCCTACTGGAGGACCCGACTCTGGATACAGGAGCTGTAAGGTCATCAAGAATTTACACACCCACGCTAAAGGTGAGATACACGTTTATATATCATAATACACATATATGATCATGGTCAATATATTTTCAAACACTATGTACAATAGGTCATCGATGATCTAGCATAGCGACTGGCTGTTATATTTATAATGCAAATATTATATACATTTTTAAGGATAAGACCAGTTAAACAAGACCACATTTTTCCTACATAAGTATAGTATACAGTATGTTTATGGGTTTGCAATAAACCCTTCACTGTAAAAATAAATTTCTTTTTTTTGGACATCTGGAAAATCCCCACGTTGCTCATACAAAATAGATGTCTAGTTTTCTTCTCTAACCTGTCAGTGATAGTGGTAGGGAAAACAACTGATAGAAATGGAAGACAAATTAGGGACAGTTGGAAGTATAGTAGAGTCTTGCAACTGCATTCATGAGAGACTGTAGAGAGAAGAGCATTTTTAAAACAGAAGTGGTTTACGTTAGCTGATATGAGCAATTGTAAGGGCAAAGACAGAGAAACTATTTAATTTCGGTGTCTGTAAAATGGCTGCTATTTATTATTAAGATAGGAGATTGTGGTGCATGCATAACCCATATTCTATCACAAATTGCACTGCACTATAAAGTTATAAACCTCTACTATTGACAATAAATGTGAACAATTATAAAATCTCTATAAAAATGTGCAAAATGTAAAGATTCAACTATATTTTCAGTGTATATTTGTAAGCATCCAGTATATGTCCAAATCAATGCTGTGGAAATTCCCAAAATGGCTATATCAGTCCACTCTTACAGGGTTATTCACAAAAGTGTGAAGAGTTTGAAGAAGGAAGGAGAAGTGAACAATCTAGGCAAAAATAGCTGATTTGGAAAAGTTCTCCAATTCAGCTCACTTTCCAGTTCAGCTATGTTGTCTTAGATTGTTCACTTCTCCTGACTTCTCCCTTTTGTGAATAGCCCTGCTAGTGATAGAGTACTATTATCCAACTATTTATCTGTTTAAAATCAAATCTGTTCAAAGAATGTGCTGATTAAAAATGCTTGTACCACTCATAAAGTGTTCTGTGCCTCCGTGCCAACCAATACACCCTTTGTAATCAGGAAAAAGATTTGCACTTCCCAGATCTCAATTACCTCTTAAATAAGATGGTCATAACATATCATGTTATTTGACTCCACCAACAAGAATCCTAAACAATCTGTTATTCATCTGAGCAGCTGAGCGGCGATTGAGGAAAATAACAGATTTGGATCTGGATATACAGGATGCTTATAAATATATTGGCACAGATATATTGACACTGAAAATATAGTTGAATTTTTAAATGTCGCATATTTTTATAGGGATTTTATAATTGTTCACATTTATTGTTGATATTAGAAGTTTATAACTTTATAGCACAGTGCAAGTTGTGATACAAATTTTAGGGTGTGGTTTTAGGCACTTTTTTAGCACATCAGCTTAGTAATTTTTCACCCATAGCGCAGGTCTTTTTGATTCTATCCTCATTTTATTGGCTTCATAGTGTACATGAATTCCTGTCACTATACTGCTACTCTAGATGGTATTTACACGCTGACCACTGAAGAGGGAGAGACCTACCAGACCTTCTGTGATATGTCAACCAATGGTGGAGGTTGGACGCTGGTGGCAAGTGTACATGAGAACAACATGAATGGGAAATGCACACCAGGAGATCGCTGGTCCAGCCAGCAGGGAAACAACCCTAATAATCCAGCTGGAGAAGGGAACTGGGCAAATTATGCCACATTTGGGCTACCAAGTGGTGCAACCAGTGATGATTACAAGGTATTACAATTAATTTTATGTAAAACAGAACTGTTATGTTTTATCTAGCTTACCTCACATAAGGTAAGTGAGAGGCATGTTTGTAAATTGTTTCCCAGGTAAAATGGCTATGTAAATATATTACACTTACTTTAAGAATATTCACAAAAACAGATATGGGGATTCTTAGACAAAAGAAGTAGTTCAATCAGCAATATATATTTATTGGTAGAGTTACATATTTACAAATAACACACAAATCAATATTTACAAGTATGGTGGTGTTTGCAAGTATGGTGGTGCAAGTATGGTGGTGTTTTACCTTTCAGCTTCTTGCCTGTTCATACTGAATGCCTTTGTGTCCCAGGTAAAAAAGAGCACAAAAATGTTTGCTTTTGTGTGGTCTATGTATATTGTTACTGTGATTTCAGCAGATTCTAAAGTGTTTTCCTATTATATGAAGTCAATGGAAGCCTGCCAATTCGCTTGGAGACTCCCAACCATACATTTTACACTTTACAATTAAATTTTTACAATTACACAAGCTTCCCTTTTTAAATTGACTTCAGTCTGGCCCTAATAGACAAGATAGCGCTAAACAAAAATTAGGGGAAATTCCTACAATGCCTTCTATTAAATGATTTTTTATAAAGTCTAAAAATAAAAATAAATCTATTTTTAAATGATTTGTGTTTTTAGAATCCAGGATATTATGATATTACTGCCAAAGATCTGGGTCTGTGGCATGTTCCCAATAACACACCGTTGTCTGTGTGGAGGGATTCATCTCTATTGAGATATCGTACAGACAACAGTTTCTTTACTCAGGAGGGTGGTAACCTCTTCCAGCTTTACAAGGTATGTAGTTTGTGGGATATAAGAAGGTGCCATGGTTTATGTGGTGGAGCTGCCACTACAAAGGGATTTTCGTTGCTTAGCAAAGTTTTAGAAAAAAATGAACACTTCCTATTCCCATTAAATTCAAACTAACCAGTTTATGAAACGAACTCTAACCTAATGCAAGTCAATGGGGGTCGAACTTTGATTGTCCCCTTTAAGAAGTCTTATATGCAAGCTATTGGCCATAAAAGGTGTGATTTTTAACATCACTTAAAGGTTAAGAATAAAAATGAAAAATTCCTTCAAATATCGTGCCTGGGGGGTCCCCTTTACCATTTTTTTACTCTTAAAGTGTGCAGTTCCCCCTCCCAACAATACCAGACCCTTTAGGTCTGGTAGGAATATTGAGGAGGGACCCCATGTAAAAAAACAAAACAAAAAAGTGTGTGGGGGTGTGACTTATGCCCGGCCCAAACCCGCTGTACGTCAATCCCATTTGACTATAGACAAGTCTGAACCTGAGCGTTGGCGTCACAAGGACGTGGTGATACCACTCTCAGCCTCACCCTTCACAGAGATTTCCCAGCTTGCATCACACAATCTCAGGCCAGCAGACTGAGAGCGATCCTCACCAGGGTTGGTTAACTCCACAGTTAACCCTTTACCCACAAACGTTTACTGCCACCATGTGTTTTTCGTAAAGGAACACAAACCGTGCCCAGCAAATGCTGCAACAATTTAAACACTTAAACAATGCCTGTGATATCGCTGTCCTCTCAGACATGAATATGGCAGGATTCACTATATAGTGGCGCTCTTCACAGAGGCAAGGATACTTTAAGTTCGTATTTAGAGCGTAGAGATAAGCTTAACAATTTTTAAGATTGTCCTTTAATATAAGAAACGGTGCAGAAAATATACAGAAAAAGATTTAATAAAAAGAGACAAAATATATACACAACAGCAAAATAAAATAAAATAAAAGGAGAATACTCAACAGTCCTGGAATTAGGAGTTCTGACCGAGTACAATAAGCAAAGGAGAAGTCTGCAGGCTCTTCTTCAAGCAGGCTTCCAGCAGATAATGTCCAGAGATTAAAGGGGTACTCTTCTGCGATGTTAACACTTCTTAGTTCCTTGATGATATTTTTCAAAACGATAAGAACCAACTCTAGTCGCCTAGACAGATGTTTTATACGCCCCTTTTGGAGGGTGTCCCAGAGCCGGCCCTTAGGGCAGGGCTGGGGAGGGAAAGCAGGGAGGAGGATAACCCTTCATTTTACACTATCCCCGCCCAATTCCAAATTATGAAATGTAGCTTGATTTGGTAACTCAGGTTTATGACTTTTGGGTGAATGTGGGGTCACCTCTACCGGACATGCTTGTTTACATTAACTTGTCCACTGGTAATAGATGAGGGCCTGGTGCCATGCCTTTAATTAGGGACAGCCATAAAAGGCTTAGAGGCTCACTTCTGCTAGGGGGCAATAAAAGATCACAGCCAGATAGCAGATCTCTGTTCTGTGGAATGTGGAAGGCCTGGCAAATGAGTAAACGAAGGCCTGTATTTGCTCTGACTGGGGATAAAAGAATTCTATTTTTTAATATTCAGACTCAGACCCCCATTATCGCCACATGGGGTTCCCCCTTAAAGTCATACCAGGCTTAAGATCTGGTAGGAATTTTAAGGAGGAACCCCACCCCCCCAAAATGGGGGGGTGGAAACGTGGGGTCCCCCCTAAAATTCCATACCAGACCCTTGATCCGAGCATAGGCCTGGCAGGGCCGGAAAGGGGGGCACGAGTGAGCGCCCCCCCCTCCCTCCCACACCAGGCCACATGCCCTCGGCACTGGGAGGGTGTCCCCATGCCGATGGGGACAAGGGCCTCGTCCCCACAACCCTGACCCGGTGGTTGTGGGGGTCTGCGGGCAAGGGGGCTTATTTGCAACGGGGTCCCCCTTTAATTAAGGGGGCGCCCAGATGCCGCCCCCCTCCCTTGTGAATGAGTAAGAATGTGTAATTAGAGCTTCGGAGGGCTCTTTGCCGTATGGGACGTTGCACGGTCGAACAGGCCGCAAACATCCCATGAAGTTCGGCGAACGCTCGAACGGCCGATGTTCGATTCAAACTCGTGCACGAATTGAACCGGCGGACTATCCCTACTCACTACCATAGAGCCAGTCACAATGTATTCTGTCCTAATCTAGAACAGTAAAGTGACGTCTTACTGAATGTGACTGTGGAGGTCTCAGATCCTACCCTGCCACCAGGATATTGCACTCTCAGCCTCACCCTTCACAGAGATTTTCCAGGTTGTGTGACAACAATGTAGGTGCCAGCAGACTGAAGTTATCATTACAGTGGTGTATTTACTCCACAGTTAAGTTTGGTAGCTGCCACAGTTAATGGTAGCTGCCACCACGTGTTTTAACAGAAACATGCACCAATCACAGTATCTGCTGTAACAATTCTGACCTTTAAGAAATGTCTGTGACACTCATTGCCACGCCAGGCAGGACTAACAACATAGTATAAAATATGGACAGAGACCAAACATGGTATAAATCTCATGCATATCTTGCCTAGGAAATTTAATGTATAGTATAAGCCTTCTGCTCCTTGAACATAGGTGTATGTGGTACCTACTTGATTATTATTTTCTTATATATTAGAATAATTATTTTTATGAATCAAACTCCATCATAGTACCTTTCATATTGTATGAAACTTTGGGTAGTTGAAAAAACACACTCACATATGTGTATTGCAGAGTTGCATACCATGCATGGCATTTACAACATGATTCCATTAGTACACTTTGGCTTACAATAGCTACCGGTTCTGGCTTAAGGGACATCTTACTAATAGGGGTTAATGACACTGGGCCTATTTCCTGTCAAGGTGCTTTAAATGGAAATGTTAATTATGATGGCTCTGCTAGTATGTCTTGTGTTTTTTCTTTTTTTCTTTTTTTTAAGGGTGTTTCAGTCTGATCTATGGCTTTTTAAATTGACCACCTCTCTCCACAGACAGAGGATTTAAATCTGATTGTTTTGTTGCTATCTTGCAAATTTCTGAGAATTGAGGAATATGAAATGGAACTCTGTGCAACATGACTCTTCCTTGCTCCCCAGTTAGTTTGGGGGTTCATCAGAGCTTATTATTGACACAAATGAGCATTACTGCACTTTGCTGCTTCAATTGTTTAATGAATAAAGCTTTCTGCATTATTTATATGAGTTCTGCAAAATAATGAACACAAAGTTAATGCACCTTTCTCTCGCTACAGGCGAGTTCACTGCCGGCTATGTCCAGTTCCGAGCTATTAACACGGAAAGAGCTCCCCTGGCTCTTTGTGCTGGTGTGAAAGTGACGGGCTGTAATGGAGAGCATGTAAGCATTATACTGCATTAGAACTGATACAATGTGCTTTGTAGAATCATATAGTTGCTACATAAAGTGGTAGGAGCAATTGTTGTGGAGCATGTAAGCAATGATATTCCTTTAGTAGTGATACAATGTTTTGCAGGTTTTACAACAAGTTGTTTGCTACATTAAGGTGTAGAAGCTATTGTTGTATATCATACACTGATAAGACCTACAGGGTTATTCACAAAGCTGCCGAAGGCAGCCAAGTGAGTAATTGAGCCGAAGTGAACAGAACCGAACGAGGTTCAGCTATGCACTCCGGCTCAGTACGGCTGACTTCAGCCGTACATTGGCTCTGCACAGCTGCCTTCGGTCAGCCGAACATGCTCTGCATGTTCAGCTGAGCCAAAGCTCCGGCAGCTCACTCGTTGCCATTCGCCCCAATTCTTATAGGGGTCGAACGGCAGTGAATGAATAGCCGAATGCAGCCGAGCGGCAATCGGCTCGTCTATTCTGCTTGGTACCTTCGTGGTACCGAGCAGAATAGCAAATAAGTGAAGAGAGTGAAAATAAAATTTAAAAAAAGGTTAAGAACTTATTTTAAAAATCATCCAAAATAGGAACATTTTTAATAAAAGAAAACTATTTAAAATAAAAGAAAAAACAATTGGGCGGAGCTAGCAGTGACTGTTTCCTACTGACCGGAACCTGCTAGAGTCTTCTAGAAGGTCCCGGCCAATGAATAACAACTGCCACGGCCTGCTCCGCCCAGTTATTATTGTTTAATGACAGATGAGCGCCCCCAGGTCATTTGGGGACGCTGATCTGTCATTACAACTGGGTGGAGCGAGCCGTGAGATCACAGCTGTCTCTGCCCAGCTGTCATTTGTGGGGAGAATGGTCAGTCGAAGGTTCAGTCTCAGTTTGGCTTTCACTTCTGCTCAGTTGAGCCGAAGTATATGCCTTCGGCTCGGCTGAGCCACTCGGCTGCCTTCGGCTGCTGTACGGGCTATTGTGAATAGCCCGTACAGCAGCTCTTCGGTTCGACTGAACTAAAGGGCTCCGGCGGCCGAAGAGAGCCAACGGATCAGCAGAAGCTAGGGCTTTATCCTTCGACTCAATAGTGAATAACCCCCTTATTGTGTGCAAAACATATGTATACATATATATCTTTTTATATGTTGCATATCTTGCCTTGGGAGGGCTATTAACCAATCAATGGATGCAAAAGGGCAAAGGCATAGATGATAATTATAACCTATCTTTAATGAAAGAATAATCCCTGTGAGATTTGTAATTCACTATATTATATATGTAAACACTTTGTACTTGTTGAAATGAGTTTGTCTAGGAACCAATAGCGAAACCACTGATTCTAAAACATACCAGTGGCATGTAATACAATTGGAAAAATGCTGAAAGCTCCAATGCAGGAGAAACACTCAATTATATGTGTACTGAATCATCTTGCAGACTTTAATAATAAACAGATCAACAGCAAGTAATGCATACAATTCTCAAAATATTGCAACAGCTGCTTGTTCCGTAACACATAAGAGGATTCTAGTTTAAAAAAGCAACTTTTATAATTTATTTGCATCAAACTGTGTTTTTATTATTTAATACAGCTAATATTTAATTAGTTCACTCAGCAAAAGCCCTTCCACTGAGTGCTTGGAGGACTTTTCTTTTTAATATTTGTATTATTACATAATAAAAAAGAATACAACAAACATTGGCTAAAACGCGGAACTTAGTAAAAGCATAATAAGAGTATATTCCAATATGTATTCCAGCGGCACAAGTGTATAAATTGCAGCATCACCTGGTAGCCAAAGTATAAGCCGATAAACACTTTAGGTTGTGTTGTGACAAAATAGATGTAACTCAATGCGACAAAGAGAAAAATAAAGGAGGGGGAAAAAGAGAAGAGAGCGAGAACACAGGAATAGAGAAAAGACAGGGCGAGAAACAGAAAAAGAAGAGAGGGGAAACAGAAGAAGAAGGTGTGTCCCAGGGGTTCAGGACAATTCCGCCACTCATGCCTCATAATCACTATTGAGAGCTAAATAACCAATAATCGATTGTCAAAGTCAGGTGGCAGACATCGCGATGGATCCCAAACCTTATGAAATTTTGCCATTGAGCCTGATAATTTCGTAAATGGTTTCTCATAGGTAAATGTAGTGTGGACTCGAGATTTCACTGCAGTGAAGCGTAAGGAGGCGGAGTTCTAGGGCTTTGCAATGACTTGTTTGACAGCAGTCAAAACATGGGTCATCAAGACAAATTTATATTTAGAGAGCCCACTTGGTTTTAGATTGAGTAGAACTTCGCTGGACTTCAGAGGCAGGGGTGACCACAACAGCGAGCGAAGCAGCCCATAAAACCCAAGCCAAATCACTGGGCTTGTGGACAGGACCGCCAAATGAGAAATCCCACCCCCTAAAACACTGTGGGGATCTTTGTGAGACTGATGACTTTTCTTTTAATGCATGTTATGCAAGGAAGCGCTAATTAGTTGGTAATATTTCATACTTCTTTCACTCTTTACTAGCACTGCATTGGAGGAGGTGGATACATGCCAGAGGCATCACCTCGTCAGTGTGGAGACTTTGCATCCTTTGACTGGGATGGCTATGGAACACACGTTGGAAGTAGCACCACCAAGGAGATCACTGAGGCTGCAGTCCTACTCTTCTATCGTTAATCTGTAAACAGTTGTTCACATTCTTCTCTCTTTTGTTTACTTCAATAAAAAATAATGTTGCATCAAATCTATTTCACTCACTGTCCATATAGACAGAAATGCTATTCACATTCTTCTCTCTTTTGTTTACTTTGATAAAGAATAATGTTGCATAAAATCTGTTCACTCACTGTGTATATACAGTAGACAGAAATGCTATTTTAGCTGTTGGTTTAAAAAGGCGTTTGTCTTGGGCGGCAGATTCCAAGAGGGCAGCAGTGTACCGGCCCGTGGGCCAATTGCGGCCCGCGAGCCGGTACTTTGTGGCCCGCAGCCAGCTCAGAAGTCAGGTAAGTGGTCACAGACCGCATGCCTGACTTGCGGGAGCAGCTACACGGTCTGCATCTCTGACAGATGCAGACCGTGTACCTGAGTCTGCGCCGCCACTCGGATCCTTTCGGCCACCTCTCTTTCAGTAAACGCTGGCCGAAAGGATTGTGCAGGATTGACTGGAGCAGACCTTACCAATCGACCACCGATCACCGGGACCGACGTGCCGCCTCACAGCCTCCTCCCTGCAACAAGGTAAGCAGGAGAGGGGGACAAGATAGCAGGTTCAAGATGGGAGAAAACAGGCACACAGGCAACACTGAGGAACTGTAAGACTTCTGCGGTGGAGATAAATATCCTCCTAGCCACCAGCATCAGGAGGCTAATTTCTAGGATCTGCTGACTGCTGTTAGACACCCTTCAGTACCGGGGACCACAGTGCCACTAGCAGTGCTCTAGTAGTTTATGCTCATCCTTTGCCTTTCCACCCAAAACACAACTATCCACATATTTTAACTTCTTTCACTCTTTACTAGCACTGCATTGGAGGAGGTGGATATATGCCAGAGGCTATCCAAAATGATCAGCTATGTTTCTGAACACTGAATTGCTGTCTGACAAACAATAATTAGAACAATTTAGACCAGGGGTAGGCAAAGTCCAGCCCTCCACCTGTGGTGCAACTACAAATCCCATTGGGTATTGCAAGACTCTGAAAGCCACGGGCATGGCCCCCACAGGCAGATTCTTGATGGGATTTAAAGTTTCACCACAACTGTAGCGCCAGAGTTTGCCTACCCCTGATTTAGATTAACAAACACACTTAAAATGTCCCTCCAGCCTAAAATAAAAAAAACTGAGCTTTGAACGACACCCATAACGTGTTCACTGACAGCCCACCCTGGGTTGTAATGTGAGGAGAGAGTAATAATGAATATAATGTTTAGCGTTATCCCTAGAAAAATAAAATAACACATAAAATGCAGAAACCTCATAATTAGAACAAAGGTGACATTAATGTAAACGGCATTGTTCTATTGTAGTAAATATAGCAAATGAAGCACCACATTAACTAAAACAGTCCAGATGAAACTGGACATTCAGACACAGTAGCCAACACGTCCAAAACACAACCCTTTTATTGAGGATTGTGTTGTGATGCTCCTGACAAGGCCAAAGTACTCCTGTCACAACATAATCCATGATGAAGTGGGAGGAGGGGTTCCCTACGTGAATGTCCCTTAATGGAAAAAAGAGTTATATCTGGACTATTTTAATTGGTGTGGTGCTTCAATGCCTACATTTACTGTGTTCTGCACTTTGGATTGTGGAAGCTGCCAGGTCACACATATTCATGTCACATAATGACTTTTGGATGAGAAACACCAAGAGAATAACCACACGGGTCCAGCACTTTCTTTCCACACTTCTAAATATTGTTCTATTGTACTGAGTAGTAAAAGATAAACAAAAACACAAATATTAACAAATAAAGATAATGAAAAAAATTTAAACAATAACAGATATATCAAAAATATCACCCAATCCTGTATCCACTATTTGACATGTGCAATATATTCAGCATATAAGGCCATGCAAAGCTCTGTGGACCGGTGCCGTGACTCATAACAAATGAGCAATTCTTCAGTTTATTTTAGTCATGCCAGTGGAAGGTGAATTTCAGTTGGTTACTTCAGGTTGCCGCACTTTTCCTTACAGGATACACCCCATATCTTGTAATAACGTATTAGGGTTGTGCTGCAAATGCATAGGAAAAATTTCCTTTTCCTATGTACCTTTTTCTCAGCACCTACTACTTACTTATTTTATCCAAATCAAATATGATAACTTTATGGAAACTATATGTCAATAAATATGCAATTTATGTTTCATAACTATATTTAAAATCAAACCTTCTAAATCTAGATTTAGCAGGACAGTTCTGGTTTTAAAATAGACATGGGTTTGGTATAACTGACATTGTCCCTTTAAGTATATGTTAAGAAATTAATTTTTATAGTTTTGGATAGAGAAGGGATGGGTTAGACCCTATGTCAAGTCCTCCCTATGAGGAGATTTACCCCTCTATACAGTACGTCCTGGAAAGTAGTGATGGGCCAAACACCACCCTGTGCGGTTCGAATTTGAACTTTAGGACATAAAAAAAGTTTGAATTCGAACTCAAACTCCACTCAAGTCTATGGGGCTAGAACTTTAAAAATCAATTGACCCCATTTGAAAGCTTATATGTTATTTATTGGCCATAAAAAGGGTACAGGGATTCGGGTACTGCCCTCCCACAGGGCAGTACCCAAGGTCTGGTAGGAATGTGAGGAGGGACCCCATTTAAAAAAAAAAAAGAAAAGTGTGTGGGGTTCACCCCCTCAAAGTCATACCAGGCCCTTTTACGGAGGAACCCTGTGACAGACTGAACCGTCACTGGAGCTGCTGGTGGAGCCTGAGGGCTAGCCTCCTTCCTACTGACTACAGACTCTGTGTGCTTTCTTCAATAAACCAGTTCATGTTTCCACTCCAAAGTCAGTGTTGTCTGATTCTTGGGGTAAGCCCATGCTATATTCACTGGCTTCTGTTTCCAGCACCCAGGGAACAGCCTTAGGACGGAGATATCTAGTTGGGGTATCAGGGGGGAAAGTGGGGTCCCCTCTAAAATTTGATACCAGACCCTTGATCCGAGCACAGGCCTGGCAGGGCAGGAAAGGGGGGCCAGCGAGTTACACCCCCCTCTCACACCAGCCCACATGACCTCAGCACTGGGAAGGTGCTTTTGCAGGGCCGCCCCTGGAAAAGCACCTTGTCTCCGTGCCGATGGGGACAAGGGCCTCTTCCCCACAAGCCCTGGGGCATTGGTTGTGGGGGTCTGGGCAGGGGGGCATATTCACATCAGGGTACCCCTTTAATAAAGGGGTACCCAGATGCGCCCCCCCCTTGTGAATGAGTAAGGGGTACTTATACCCCTACCCATTCATGAAAGGGTTACGTTTTCAAAAAGAGGCCAGACTTGAAAAAAATCCTTTAATTGAAGAAAAAAAAACAAAAGACAAGTTTTTGACAAGTCTTTTATTGTAAAGTGAATAACCCTCTTAGTGCTAACTTGTTGGATTATTTATTATCTTCAATGAATGGGCTTCTGAGGAAAATTCTTTTCCTGGGCCTTGGCTTTACAAAGTTAATCTACAGTGCATTCTTTTAATTTAATATAACACTTCCGCAAAAGAAAGTTTTATAGTCAAGTCCAACATCCTTTTTTGCTGCTGCTTTATGACTTTAGATTACTTGTCTACTAAACTTAAAGTATATGCAAACCAGTCAGTGAAATCTCATAGAAGCTTTGATATGTCTAATAGTAAGGCGCTCAGGACCTGGTATAAACCTGAGTTCCTCTGGACCCAGATGAAGCTCCACATGAACACAGAAGGAAGCTCCTTCCGTGCTGCCCAATCAGCTGCGGGCAGGGAAGTTCCAGCCCAGAGCATGATGTAAGCAAAGAGGTGGGGTGCATTGACCTATATATTATGTAAATTACATTTACCTAATATGGCCATTTGGCCATTCATGGTAAATTATGTCAACACAAGCATCCAGCCCATTTGATTTTGGTCACCTGCAGGGCAGGGAATGTAACTAATTGGGTTGGAGGCCGGATTTAGTCTGAACCTGAACTCATCCCTAATGTCTAAGTGTATCTAAATCCAAAACCAGAAATTTAATATATTTCAGCTCATCAGTCTTAAGATATGATGGCAGAATTAGATTACATTTTTCAGGCTAAGAACAGTTTCAAAAAGTACAGAAAATATCTATACATTTTTCTAGAAATGCAGGGTCCTTGTGACTTCCTGAAAAATGAAAAGACAGCAAAAATAATCTTATTTTTCCTTTGTAAACTACTAGCCTCATCAATCCACTATGTAATGGAGATAAACAAACACTGACATATTTGAAGGCCAGCCTGTGTGACAACCATGGGTCCCTCCAAAGATACAGTGTAAAAATGAGTGTAGCCATAAAGGGATGTGTTTTGTGGCCAAATAACCAAGTAAAAATAAAGGGAAAAAAGCCTGGAAAAATACGAATCAATGATAATAAAACTGTGATTCCTAAAAAAGAACTGGTACAAATGTCCTATTAGCAGGTATGGAAAACTTTAATCACACTAAGACAAAGAAACATATGAGTTCATCGATCTGGGTATAAAAAGTAAATCATACCAAAGCTGGAAGCTGCTTATTGAATAAAAGGCAAGAATAATTATCAGCTTTAGAGGTACCCAATCCATCCACATGCATGAATCTGACAATTAAACTGGGTAAGTATATATCTTCACAGAATGTAGAGGACTACAAAGTATCCCTTTCACACTTGTATTAAATCAACCTAAAGCTGAATTCTGGGCACACAAACTTCCATTTAAATATATTCCTCAATAGCCACAAAGGATCCACTTTGTGTGCACCAAATGCCTTTGCAAAGTAAACATAGCGCTGACATCGTTACTAGGCTGTAGAAAGCCTATGTAAAAAGCAGAGCTTTGGGTGGATCTACTCACTACAGACTGCCTGAGTTATTTTTATGCTTGGTTACTGCATAGATCTGGAAGAAATACAGAAATGATACTAGGCGATACGCGAGGTGGATGCTGTTCACATGCCACTACAACCAGTAGATGGTGCTGAG